ATAAAAATATTAAAAATAAAAAATGTTAACAAGCCACAATAACATTGGCATTTGGTTTGTTTACTTTTATTAGTACTACACCGATTTGGCTGAAAGATCACCACTTTATAACTTTTAAAATCTATACAATTAATAATAATTGCATACATCTTCGAATATTTCGTTGTTTACTTCCATTGTTTAACAAATGTAGGGTTCTTTGCTTTCACCGCGTTCTGTTTATGTTTACAAATGCAACCCTGCCTATCGTTTGAAACTTTTCATGAATTTGCCAGAAACTCCGGGCTAAAGGTTAAATTAGTGGTGACATACCATAACGTCATAGCCATAACCATTGCCATAACCGTAACCACATTAACAAGCATCGATTATAGGTACCATAACCATAAACAGCTGATTTTTCGTAGTCGACAATGTCGGTGTTGCCAGACTCGGAAAATGTGTAATATCGTAGGATAGTTGCGCAGAACTTTTTTCACTATTACTAAATTAACACTATATTCCTAAAACTCAACATCAGATCACAATAAAATATGTGCATCAAATTTTACTTTCTTAATAATATAAATTTCTTCGGCATTAAGCATGAAATTTTGTTCAACAATTTTATTTTATGAAAAAATACGAAAATCCTTTTCGTTTTTTAGTAGTTTTGGATTAAACATATAATAAAGCATACAAATTATGCACATCAACAGAAAGATAAATGAATTGGTTTTATTTTGGCATCATTAGTTTTTGTATCGGTTATGTAGTTCATGAGATGTTAATATATCAAAAAATCAAAAAATTTTCATTTAACCTTTTGTATCTTTTGTATATTTTTGCACCAAATAATTTTGGTACAGTTGAAATCAGCGTGAGAAGTCCTATCGAGCCACATTTTTGGTTTTTGCATTAGCTATGCATGCTATGGTTCATATTCTACACGTATGCCAAAACGTTACAGTGTTGACCATAAGGTTGGTTGAAACAGCTGTTTTATATGATTATGGTTATGTCACCACTAGTTTAAGCTTAAGTCTTGAAACTTAATTCTGGTAACAGTTGCTCAGTTGCTGTCACGAGAGCGTTCCCAGATACAGAATTTTTGGCGTACGGGAACGACTTTGGACTAAACCTGCAACTCGTGCTGGAACGCACTAAATGACTGCTTAGAAATCCATGCTTTGCAATTCTTGTTACGAGTTTGTGGCGGCGTGCACGGTGATGATGAAACAAGGAGCTGTATAAGCTTAACAATGACATCGGCACAGTGCAGAAAATTATGACGCGGCGGCTATGCTGTCTAGGCCTAGTCCCACGAATGATTGTATCCGCTGGTTAGGGCTGCCAGATTTTTTATGCGCGAAATCAGTAGATACATTAGACTTTTTCATGCTAAAAAAATCGGTACATTTTTATTCAAGGGAAATTATGAATGTAAGTAACAGAAAATAACTTTAAACGCCTGAGTTCTTGTTTTTAACAATATTTTGGTATATAAATAAAATATAGTTCATAAAAAATAAAAGTGTTATTCATTTTAACATGAGTGTACACATCATGATTCACAGGAGCCAATAAGTTATTTTATATTTGTGACCAAACCAATTTTTTTAAGAGATTGAGTCATAGGTAAAAAAGTAACTTCTCCGTTTTTCGAAGTTAGCCTCCGAAATCGAGATATGGGCCTTCGAAGTTCGAAATTGGACCTTTGGTAAAAAATTATTTTATTTAAACGACGAATTTGAAGTTTACTTTCAAAATTTTTAATTAGAAGCCGGTTTCTCTCTTTGCGCCAGGAAACAAACTTTATTCTTAAGATCCTCTCATACTGTAAAAAAAGTACCACTTTTTAAGGAGTTCATCTATATTTCCTCATGGCCTAAATAATTTTTCAACTACGCAAAAACTGTGAAAGACTAAGAATTCGCTAAAAAGAGTATCTAACTCTATGCCTTATATGCCAAACTATTTTACAGAGTCAGTAAATTTAGAAAAAGGAGTTGTAAGTTATAGGCAAAAGCCATTCGAATATTGAAATGTATTGTTATTAAACTGAACGTTATTTTCGAGGTAACTAACAACACTCGACAAAAATTTAAGCCTTCTTTTTAAATAATTTAAGCTCCATCATATTATCGCAACTGGTAAGTAACGACCCGGCGATATGCCCATAAAACGATTGATCTTTTTGTTGTATTAATTTCTTGGGCATATCAAACATTATCTAAAACATGTCAACTATAATTAAATTATATTCTTCTTATTTTTTACAGTACAGTTTAAGGAAGTTCCAACGTTATGTAAAAACCTTAAGAAAATACTAAAGTATTTTGTTTGAATAGAAAATTCAGTACAAATCAGTACAAATTTTGAAAAATCAGGACATTAGCGTACTGATTGAATAAATGAATAAATCAGTACATGGGTTGAAAAATCAGTACTGTACTGATACAATCAGTACGTCTGGCAACCGTACCGTTGGTGATAGCAGAGGAAGAGGAAGGCCTCCACTGCGTTTGAAAACCATGTACAGACGAACGAATTGGCCTCGTTTTCTAAATTGTCTAAAATCCTAAATGGTTAGCAGAAGAACAAGAAACGACTGGCGTGCTTTGTTGAACTCGGTCAAAATCGCTTGTGCGGTTATAGCGCCAATGAAGAACAAAAACAGGAATACTTAACTAAAAAGTATACAATTCTAAATTTATTTATTCTTTCCTAAGTAGGAATATAGCGCATGTAAAATCTCAGAAAATCGTAACATTTGTACAATTTTTGGTTCAGCTTATCTCCAGGCATTCCATTGTTCATTGGCATATTAAATCACAAAATTACAATTTTTTTTGCATAAATAATTTAAAAATACGTTACTTACGATTCCATAGAACCTATAAACACGGATTTTTTGTTGTGGTTTCAAAATAATTTAATATTCACTTAAGATTAGTAGTACAAAAGAATATATGTGTGTTGAATGTAAGTATGCATGTCAAAGTTTATACAAAGAGAAAAATTCATACAATTACAAAGCACTAAAGGCCGGTTACGCAATGTCTGGTTTACACTAACTACAGCTTAAACACCGTTTCCGACATTATCGACTCCCTGGCGATCACGTCGATAAAATAGTTTAACCTGCAGTTAGGGTTAACCAGACATTGAGTTACCGGCCCTAATTGTTAATACAATTAAAAAGCATTCAATTTGCTTGCATTAAGCTTGGCTCAGAAAGGCACATCGGTTTGGCAAATTTGAGGGTGAGTCAGCTCATGCGCGTATGCGGGACGCCTTCTTGCTTTTATCAGCCTTTGGTGGTGGCGGTCCACGGTCACTTTTTATGTGGCGATTATAGAGTCTGAAGAGAAAAAAAAACAAATAAAAAATACATATGTAAGCTCAACACTCACATCACGCTATAATAAATTTAACTCACATTTTGTACGTCTCAGTTTTTATATACTCGATGACGTGACTAATGCCCAGCAAATATTGCTCCTGTATCGGCACCACCCATGGATTTTCCTCCATCTTCATCACCGACTTGCTGCCCAACAAATCGAGATTACCCACTTCGGGTGGCAAAACCTGGAGGCGGTTGTTTTGTATGTGCAGCTCCCGCAGACGAGTCAACTCGCCAATTTCACGCGGCAAATCGAGCAAATCATTGTCACGTAATCCGAGTATTTGCAAATTTTTTAAATTTCCCAATTCTTTTGGGATATGCTCGAAATCATTGTCGCCCAAGTAGAGTGCTCGAAGTGTTTCGATCATGAAGAAGTTACCGGGCAGCACGTTTTCATTGAGATTATTGTAGGAGAGGTCGAGCACCTCCAATACCGGAAATGCACCGAATCCACGTGGCAGGCTATCTAAACGATTCAGCGAAACATTCAGGATACGCAGTTTAGGCATTGATGAAAGCGAAACTGGCAGTTCACGTAAACCATTGTTGGATAGATTTAATATCTCCAAGTTGAGCAGGTTGGCTATACCCGGACTGATCATGGTTATCTTGTTGTGACTCAAAGTGAGCCGTGTGATGTAGGACATGTTGACTGTAAAAAATAAACAATTTTAGTTTGTTGTATACATAAATACATGCGTTCTGCAATTGAATATAGGGTTGAAATTATACAAAATACTCTCAAGAAGGTTCTCTTTTTTCTCTATATTTTTCGTGTGTTTAGTATGTTCTTTCTGAGGTAAGTAAGTTAAGTTTATAAGAGTGATTGTTACTATTATTACTATATTGCTGTAATTGCTAAGTAGTATTTGTACAGATGCTTAGGTCTATAGTAGGATATCCTCAGCTTATTCGCAGTGAATTGAAGAATGAAAATTGAAGAGAGTTTAGTCGCATTTACATATTTCAGAGCAATGAACAGGAAATGTTTCAACATAATATGATCCACTTTTTCAAATTGTTATTGAGTTCTTAGCATCTTTTAGTTATCGCCCTTTCTAGTGCCGTCTATGGTCAATTTGCAGAACATCGGAATATAGTATTTAAACTGTGCATCTGTGCATTTTCAGTCTCTCTCAAAAAAAAGAATGATAAGCTTCAAATCAGTTTGAGTTTGTTATCTCTCAGAGCTCAGAAAATGAGTTCGAACTGCTGAAGAAAATCCTCATTGGTCGTAGAGGTGACTATGAGATGATCAATGAAACAGCCGATGAAGGTAAAACCGCAGAAAATGTCGTCCAGAAGAAAATAATTTTTTTCTTGTTGATGTATATACAGAAAGTGAAATACATATTTGCAAAATTTGTTAGACATTATGGAAACTTGTCGATTAATCAATAAATAGCTCCGAAATTACTAAGCTGCAGATCTCAAAAAAACTTGGCTTAATCTCAAAAATGGTTCTAATTTTTTATATTACTTAAACAAAGTGCAGTTTAATATTAAAAAAAAAGTATTTACTTAATAAAAAAAACCAAACCTTCTTTTTGGTTGTTTGTGTTTCCGACAGGGTAAGAGTATGATGTATTGTGGAACGATTTTTCGTCATCCCTTGTCAAATTTGGTTTGGAGACAAACCGGTTTCGGCGTTGTGCCATCTTCATATCCATATTTAACGAATCTTTAAATCAACAAATAATTTTTTCCTGATTAGGATAGGAATAGGATTAAAGTAATTGGCACGTAGTCATGGGCGAAATAAAGTCCACTGAAAAGTTAGTTGCAGTTATTTTGTACAGGCATCCCATTGGTAGAGCGCTTCGGGTGTACGAATTTGTTGTAACATCATTAGTTGAAGACTTGCTCTAGCTGCTAGTCTCTTAAAATTTCTTCCAATAACGTCGTAAGCAGATTTCCCATGTGAACTTGCAACATAGTTCAATTCTCCATTTCCTTGAAGGAATTTTCATTATTTCAGGCCTTTAGTAAAGTTAATATGATTTATTCGTATTGTTTTTGCTTTTTACACAAAAAAAAAAATACAAAAATATACAATTTCATAAAATTTCAATGTCTATTTATCATATCCAAACCAATAAGTAGCTTATTACGCCCATTTGGGTACTTAAAGTTGACATTATAGACAATGTTTTTCTGTAAAAAGAAAAATTTTTAAAAATGCTATAATCAAAAAAAAAATAAAAATAAAATGTTTGCATAATTTAATTTTGTTTTTTATACGTTGCACATTAATGTAAAAAATGTACAGTTAAAGCCCATAATAAGACGGAATAAATACATTTTAGTTTCATTAAGTTGCGTTAAAAGGTTTCCAATATACAATATACAGCACTTTAAAGAAAGGTATGTATGAAATTTTCTTAGAATTTAAGTCCCGTGTAAATAGGCAACCCTACGTCATATCGGCAAAATATGCTGAACCTATATTCATTTCACCTAGACCTTCAAACCGCGGTGACAATGAAATGTGTTATAACACATGCGAAATTGGACTTTTGACCAGAAATTCGGCCAAATTTCGAATATTTAGTGCAAACAGAAAAAAAATTAAAATTGTAAGCCTTTGAGGGTAACCCTAAATTACATTACTGTCACAATAGATAGTTGACTAAAGGCTTGTTCGTTTGCTCGCCCTGCTGTGAGAGCCACTTTCAGAGAGAAATTTTTGTTTCTCACTAGCCCGAGATCGTGTGCGTGTATGTGTACGCGTGCGCGTGCATAGAGAAAACTTATTTCGTTTAAGAATTTAACGAAGAAATGAATGCATGAGAACTTCTCTAGGAATTTCATTTGATATTATACATATGTGTGAAGTACATGATATATATATGATATGTGATATACATGATATATAATATACATAATATACACATACATTCATTATGTAAATAAAGACGCCTAAACGTATACCACAAATCTGTTTCTTTTCGTGTTGTATCTTTCAATCAAAGAAAGAAATAATGTTGCAAAACTCATAAATTTCAACGGACAATATCTCAGGGTTTAAACAAGATATCTCGTTGAGTTAAACAGCATTATCAAGGGGAAATATTTTAATTTCAAATGATTTATTAAATTTTCTAAAAAAAGCGAACTATTCTTTTATTTTCGTTTTCACATGTTTAGGCTAAAATATCTCGAAAACCTGAGCCAATCGAGCAAAACTGATTCTTTGGATAAGTGTAAGCTGATCCCAGGGTCTAAAAAATGTCGGCCTGTGTAACCGAACAACCAAACTGGTTTTCTTAGCGCTAATTTTGAATCAAGAATTCGGCCTATTACATATGTATGTACATATATCTAAATTATATTCAATCCAAACGAAAGTATGTACATGTGTACATTAGGGTGTTTCATATTTAGGCGATATTTTTTTCTCTGGCCTCCTAAAAATCTGATACTTAATAGAAAATAAAAAAATATGCCGTTTCAAAAAAATTTCAAGTGCATCACAGGCTTAGTTAGCTCTTTTAAAAATTCGATTTCTCATATAATTAACACGGGAATTTTTTTTCGGTTTTAAAATTTTTTCTAGGCAAAAAAGAGTGTACAATTTTTATAGAGCATGAAATTCGCATCAAAAAGGTTCTCTGAGCAAATGCCGTCCGACCAACAGTTTTTGAGCTATACAGCTGGAAATATAAATGTTAATAATAATTTACATACATAAATGTCTTTTAAGACGATATTTATTATTCTAACATTTTAAATTAACTTATAGTAAATACTAATTTCATTTCTGAGTCTGTGACAACATTAATGTTTACTTCTAAGCATCCGGAAATAGGGATGTTTCGATACAAGTAAATACGAGTATGTACTCGATACTTTTGTTTAGATACCAACTGCTTTTTTCACTCGAATCGTTGTTTCGAGACCTTCTTGGTATCGAAAGAAAAGTACTGGTATCGAATGGATTTTTCTATGGAAAATAATTGATTCGTTTTTATGAAAAAAAATTACTTTAAGGAATAGCACCGCCAAAATCTAAAGTGTGGATATATTTTACAAAGTTAGTTATACCACAGCAAAGTGCAAGCAATGCTTTGTGGCCGTAAAGTTTTGTGGGAACCTTTCAAAGGTTGAATTTTCTCTCTAAGCGTATTACTTCTAGTGTTACTAATGAACAAATATACATATTGATACCTCAACTGAAAATATTTGAGATAGGGCGGTTTTGAACCGAATTCTGAAATAGGATGTTCCTAAATAGTTTTCTGAGGTGTGACGTTTTCGAACTGGCTGTCGATATAGGTCGATCTTGAAAATTACTTTCGCTTTGTTGCATATAAAAGGATGAACAATTATCGATATAAGTAGGTATCGATACATTCGGTTCACTCATGTAAGTAGTATCGAAATAGCTATTTGAGTAAACTCATTTAAGTAGGTATCGATACTTTTATGATCCGAACGTCCCTATCTATGCATTGCAACAACTTGTAATAAGTATTGTTTATATTCTTCGTTATAGCGCAGTGGGAAATGTAATGTATGGTAATCGAAAAAATAATCAGTAAGACAACCCTTTTCACATTCGAAAATGCATTTTCGCCCTACGCCGATGTCCTAGGAAAATTGGGGCATTCAATTTTGCATTACCTAGTATCGAGGAATGAATGTGATGTAATATGAGTCTAGAACTCATAGGAATTACGTTACATTATTTATCACGCATGTAATGCATTACTACTTTTCCCACTGGGAGGATATACTCTGGTTATATTAATATCATCCACGACATGTAAACCTGTCAGAAACAGCGCCAGTGTGGTATAAAATAGAACTACATAGAGAAACTTAAACAAAATAAAACATGGGACTAAAATTTTAATTTTAATAAATTGGAAATTTAAGTTTATAGTATTTAGTGATTTAAATTTATATTTATTTATTAAATTTAAAGGTTATTCATGAAATAAAAAATGTAATAATTTCTTAGTATTTATTATAAATTAATTTCTAATGTAAGAATAATAAATATCGTCCTAAAAGACATTTAACCCTCTACGTGCATTTGTACAATATATTGTACATTTAATTTTTTGTAGCATTGGCATAGCGTGCTACTAAAAACCTTATTAATATTTTTGAAAACAAATTAAACTCTATGAAGTCTTGGACTGTTCTGAATAGTTTACGTAAAATTCAAAATCAAAAGCTTTTCAAAAATATTTTAAGAATTTAATTTAAAAATAGACCATTTTATAAAATTCGAGTGACACGCAAGTGGTGGTAATTTACTGTATAAAAAATACGTAAGAATCAAGTAAACTCACAAAGAAAACCACATAACATGGACATATAAAAAGCATTTGATATATGATGATAAAAATTCTAAAATTAAACTATCTTGATTTTAAATATTTTTCCGGGCGGTTTTTCCGGACACACATGTGAAAAAAGTCTTTTCGAAATAACAGCCATTAATTGTTTACATCTGAAAGCCAATTTTATAAAACACAAAATGGAAAATACCCCACAGAAGTTTCAGAAAATGTAGTTATTTGCTAATTTTATTAGCCATATAAGATTAATGAAATCATTGTTTAGAGCTGATTTGTTGATTCCGGCCACGAAACGTGGTTTTTGCGTTCATCCCGCTCTGGGCACATTTTTGACACTTGTGAGAGAGTAACTTATTTTTACGCTCTAATTACCGGAGCAGCCCGGAAAGCGAGTGGAATAAAGCTATCATAAATGCACTCATGTTTCCACTGGCTTTCAAACTGAACTTAAGCATTCCCTAATATTTACTTAGTAAATGTCAATAGAGAGCGATTTCTTTCGGCAAATCCACTCAACCACCAACAACCATACACACACAAACATAGAGACATATACACTGCAGTAACCCTGCAGGGAAACCGCGAACTGGTGAATCAAATTTCTAGTTCCGTACTAGATTTTTATCGGCAAGAACGAACCAGTCCGATAGAAACTGGAACCCAACCAGTTCAAAATCAGCGAAATGTGGTACTTTTAAAAAACTATTTTTTTTTCACTTTTTCATTAGAAATCTATATCTAAGGCAACGATTTTAGAACTGGTTCGAAACTATAAAAAAGAGATGCAGAAGGAACTAGATCTTATCAGTCGAATTTCGAATTAGTTCGGAACTATCGAAAAAGGTTTGATTACTTTACATAGATATGTGTTTGGTGGCTGTTTCGTTCAAATACGCTTCCATTCTGCACTTCGCAGATGCTTTTTCATAGCTTCGTGATACAAAACAAAAATTTGTGTTAACATTTTAACATCTTGGGAACTTATGGAATCTAAGCAATAACAGCAAGCACCTTGCAAACTCAGCTACAGCTAAAGGTATGTAAACGTATATTTATTATAATCATTCAAACAAATTTAGTTTCAAATTCAAAATAATTTAAAATCGCACACACGGAAGAACTGAAAAGATTGAAAAATTATGATACTTGTTTCTTTCGTCTGTCGATTTTAGAACAGGTTCGGAACTATAGAATTTAGGACTGTTCGGAACTATCGAAAAAAGGATGCAGCGGAGGGCAATTGACGCTTCCTAGGACATCGCCATGTTGAATTCGCCAGTTGTTTACATGCAAAAGAGATTTATCGCGAACCAGTACTGGGTCTAAATGTATTAGAAGCTCACCTGTAGTGCGATTCACTAACTTTTAACAATGCGACTTATCGAGTTGTAAGCTAACAATTTTTGTTGTTTGCAGTAACGATATTGGACACAAATCCATTGCATATGACAAGGCACTCCTGTGAGCTCAAAGTGGGCATTTTATGTGGAAGAAAATGCGCAACACCCTCCACAAAAAACATTCTAAAAAATCAACGGTAACTTTTGGCGACTTGAAACTTGCACTTTATTAGACTAAAATTGAATGGGATACAAAACTGCATTCCCGAAAATCTTATAAAGGTTCTCAATAAAAAGTTAGAAAGCTTGGAGTAAATTTTTTTAAGTTTGATTCATTTTTGTGAATTTTATGCAAGCTTTGAAACTTTTATTTATGTGGTTTCTGTTGAAATATAGTAGATGGAACTACTAAAAGTAAAATTATTTAAAATAATAAATAAAAGTAGCAAACACCATAATTTTGAATTTTGTTGCCATATTTTACACGCAGCTGTAAATAAAAAGTTTACAAAAAACATTTAACATGAAAAAGATTGTTAATATTAAAAAAAAAAACTGTATGCACATTTTGTACATATTTATTTTAAGGACTGATTTAATTATCATAATGATTAATAAAGACATTTTTTAATATTAACACACATATATGATATTTATATTTTTAATAAACGATGTACACGTATTAAATTGAAAACTTTAATTATTCAATTTCTTTAAATTCAAGGCATATTCAGTTCCTGTAAGATAAAAAAATAGACTTATCACCTTTTAACTTCCAGTTTTCTATATTTGTTTACGCCCTATTGGAAAATTATAACCGGAACACATATAGACAAGTTGTCACAAACTATTTAATTTGTATTACTTGTTTTAATAGTGTATTCTGCACCTAAAACCGTATAAACTCTAGTTTCAAACATTGTGCAACATTTAAACAAAATTCAACAAACTTTCGTAAAACTTCAAGTCTTTATCAGAATAATAAACAAATTATGTATGCAGTTTTGTAGTCCATTAAATTTTAGTACAATAAAGTGCAAGTTTGATGTTTCTGAAAAACCTTTGATTTTTGATATTTTTTTGCTAGCGGTGCTGTGCATTTTTATGTCGACGTCGTCAAATTAGCGGCCTTCGTTATCGTTAGCGTCAACAGCTGATTTGGCGCTAACGAATATCGTTAGGGAAACGTTTACTGAATAGCTAAATTGTTAAAATTGTCGTTTAGCTGACTTAACAATAAGAAGAGTTGTTAATCGCACCACTGTTCAGAACTAGAGATTTTCCCTACAGGGAAAATTTAGAGATTGTCTGGCAAAGCGCTGGTTCCGAACTACATATTTAAGAATTATCTCTGAACTACTGGAAAACAGCTGCAGAGCGGGACAGTTTAAACTTGCGATGTAAATGAACAAATTCTCACTCCTCATACAATACGAAAGTAGCTCAGCGAGAATACGTCCGACTCAAGCACCATTGGTCGCGAGTTCAAATCTCGGTGGAGGCAGTTGTGAGTTTTCAGATTTGTTAAAAAATTTTTTAAATAAAATATGTAACAAACTGTAATCTGTTAAAGGAAAGAAAAAACGAAAAAAATATCCAAAAATGGAATCTTAAAAACGGTTTCTTATAAGAAAAAGCTGTCCAAAATGGAACCGGTTAAAAATGAGTTGCAAAGAAATGCACTGGGCGAGAATTGCCACCGCCAATGACATCGCCGTGTAAAACGGGACCGTTGAAAACATTGCTTGGGTATTGAGCTACAACTAGTACTGTCGGCAAAATGTCTAATACTACGCTAGTTCTGAGCTAGTCAGATTTTCAGCAAGGTACATACATGTGTGGATGTATTGAGTGTGTATTCTCCCATTGTTATGCCATTCGCTGAGAATTGAGTATAACATCTACATATATATCTACAAAGTACATTGTACATACATACATACATATATGTAGTTCAAACAAACAATATAATACGCATATATGTAAATAAATACTCTGCAGAAAAAAATTATCAATTGATTAAAAGTAACCCATTTGTAGTTTTTTTGTGGGATTTCGATGAAATACATAACTTTTAGTTAATTACAAAAATCTTTAAACTAGTTGAAGAGTAATGAGGGAGTCATGAAGACGTAAACGGCAGATTCTTTAAACAAGTTTCTATTAAAATATCCTCATAAAAATTTTGCTTTTAATACACTTTTTTCCGCACTTCACAAATACTTTTTAACCGACTTCCAAAAAAGGAGGAGGTTATCAGTTCGTCGGAGTATCTACAGACATACATACAAAGTGCATCGATACATAAAATTTAATGAAGATCCTGATTGGCAAGATACATACCTAGCATGATACAAAATGAACGTTAAATATACACAAAGAAGATAATCGGTAGTTAATATTGCCTACTTCTATTAAATATCTCGCGTCGCCTCGCATTCTTAATGATAAGAAGATTGGATCTCCGTTTTTTTTGTTTCTAAATTTGGTTAAAATTACTCGAAACTATGTATAGGTACTTGAAATACAAAGGAAAGAAAAGTTAATTAAATTTATGACTAAAGTAAATAAGAAAAACGTATCAAAATATGAGAAAAGTTAGCTTTTTGCCCTTTTATGCAGCCATAAATCTAAATCTTTGCATGTAAATGCTAGAAAAACTCGCCACGTAATATCAACCCTGAATTTTTTCTATAAAAAGCAACAAGTAACAACCTACTAATGTAGGTGTAGGAATTTAATTGCACTTCTTTAAATTTTATGTTTTGCCATGTAGTTGCTGTTGCAAGTCCGAACGATCTTGCACTTCAGTTTTTAGTTTGGAGAATTAACAAATATGTTTAAATTCACTTTAACACATCTGACATAAAGTATCACATACATACATATACATAGGTATGCACATTCATGCATATGCATACACATTTGGGTAATGGAAACGCCTAACACTCACAACAGCTGTTTCGATGATCTCATAAGCATTATGACGTCCTTCGAATTTAGAAGCATAATGACCCCCATTTTGATTTCTTTTTATTCCCACCATACATTACATTCAGGGATAATTGCCTTTTCATAATTTTATGCACATAATTTGCCATTTACTTATATATGTAGATTCACATCATTATTTTCTTGGCACTTTAGTGGAGGCAGCACAGTTTTAGAGCCAGTGTTGTCGTTATTAGGTAGATGTATATTTTAGTAGCTTTTGTTTTGTAGATACATATTAGTAATTTCTTTTCACTTTTAGTTTTCATTTTGGCACTTACACAATCCAGGTAACTCCTCGAAGGAGCTTATGCCTTTGTCGACCAAATCGAGCTCACGATTCTGCGTTTCACGCGCTTCATCCAACACTTTCTTTGCCTTCGACATTTTGGCATTGACTGGTAGGCATGATTGACTCATTTTTGCTGTTGGTGGTGTATTGAAGAATTTTTGTTGCTGGTTGGGAACTTTTTCGTGAGAGAGTTATTTGAGTGAGTTTTTCTCCCTTATTATGATTTTGTTTTAGCTTTTTGTGCTATTTTTTATACATTTGTTTCCAGAATTCCACTTTTTACCAAAATTTTAAGAAAATTTTAAACTGATTACACAGGTCAACAATTTTTGAAAAAGTTTTTGGTGCCGAGATATTTTTAGTGGTTTTTGTAAGGTATTAATTTTGACAACACTAAAAATAATACTTATTTATCCTACTTGTAGTTTTTGAGATATCGCCGAAAAACGATTTTTGATAAGAGAAAAAAGGTCGATCATTAAATATCTAATATCTATGTAATATATGAAATGAAAGTCAATAATCTTGCTATCTTTCGTTCAATATTCGTTGTTTTTGAGATATTTACAAAGAGTCATATTTTGTAAATTTAATAAAAATTTTTTAGTTATATTGCTAAAAATGTTTGAGAAAACGACTTTCGAATTTTTCGTTATTCCCATTTCTTAAGAGTAACATATATTTGAAATGTAAATAAAAAAAACTCACACAAAAAAGTGAAAATTAATCGCATGAGAATAAAAATACCCATTTTTTTAAACTGGATTTATTACGCGCTTATGCACATACTATAAACTTTCTGTTTCGAGACTTTCGTGTCAGCAGTAGTCAGCCATCATATGACGCTTAGCTTAGAAAACTGGCCAGGAGCAGAAAACGGTTAAGAGTGTTTAAGTGCAGTCTTTCGAATATATTTTGACATAAAATATATTTAAGAAATTTTGTGATCCAAATCTTTTTAAAATATACATATTAAAACTATAAACAGATCTATGATTTTGTTCTCAGAGATCGTGCCAACAGCGTATTGGGATTTTCTTTCATAAGTAAAACCATACTTTGGAGCTTGTGTTTAGTATTCACGACGTTAGAACTGCATGAAATTAATAAAAATTGTTTAAAATTAGAGTCTAAGTGCGAAAAAGTAAGAAAACAAATGCAAAATCTTACATTTTTCACAATTTTCTAACACTTCGCTGCACCAACGAAAGCAAAATTCTGTTCGACAGAAAATTCGATACTCGACGAAAATTTCGACACGCTTGCATAGGGGCCAATAATAGCATGAGTATTTGGTGTATCCACTTCGCTGTCCTAATAGAAAGTTAACAATTTTTAGATGAACTTCACTGGTGTTCATTATATTTGATTGTATCTAACACAAGTAAAATGTTTTAATAATTTTCTTTTCATTTTGTTGAATGAGCAATGGTAACTTAACCATATTTGTCGCCATTGTGTAAAAGAAGCAGCGTTTAAAACTGAACTATTAAAAAAAATTTGCTTGGCACCTTTCACCTTCTATATATATAAAAATGGTGTGAAAAATGTATAGTAATTCATCAATTGCGAACGGTTGGGCCGATTTGGCAAACATTTTTTTTAGTTGTTCGTACCCTGTAGGGAAAACACGAACTAGTGAACCAGATTTCTAGTTCAGTACTAGGTCTTTTTCGCCAAAAACGAACCAGTCCGATAGTAACTAGTTCCGCACCAGACCAAACGCAGTGAAATGTGGTACTTTCACTAAACTATTCTATTCTAAATTTTAAAAGCAGGGAAGGTAATCATTATGAGTAAAATAATTTAAATCAGCATTTAATCATTATTTTATGAATTATTATTGGGTTTTATTTTTTCGCTCAAACGGAAATAATTATTATTTGATTTTTATTTTTGGGATTACAAATAATGATTGTTTTATGATTTTTACTTTTTCGCGCAGAGATTATCATTAATTTTCAGTTTTATTTTTCCACTCAAAAATAATGATAATTTATAAAATTTAAAAGGCCATAAAGACGCAACCTACTGAAATTTTTACCTGAAAACTTTGTGGCTTATTCCTTTTATAAGGGTGCGGCTACCTCTCAAAAGGATACGTCGGTTATCACGATGGTATAGTTTTTGAGTTGCTTAATAATCATTATACTTAGTGGTTCCATAAACAAAGGCCAAGATCCTGAAGGACAATTGAGAAAGGCAATGCAGTTGCAGGAAAAAAGGCATTTAAAAAAAAAGTGTCAAAATAATTACCACTTTCTCAATAAATTTATTTAAAAATGCAAGCCACCAGAGCTACCTTTTTTTTAAGAAAAGGCAAATTAAGTTTTTTTTATGCAATCCACCACAGCTACCTTAATACAGTCAGTCAATAAAGTTTAGGTACAACGAATTTTTTACAATACGGGCAACTATGTATTTAATATTTTAGTTTTCGGTAATTTTTTATAAATATGGTCAATTCTACAAAAAAATCCCCAAAAATCAGAGTTCCAAACCTTGTGCAAAATTTAAGAAAATTCTGCAAAATTTCATTAAGATAATTCACTTTCTATTTACGCTCTCTAGAAAAAGTTTTTTAGCCCATTCAATTTTAGTATAGGACTTACCAAACAACAAAAAAAAATTGCTAAATATCAATGGTAAGTCCTAGCTACCTCAAACTTGCACTTTGTTATACTAAAATTGAATGGGCTAATAACTGAGTACTTAACTTTTTTCTAAAGAGTGTAAATTGCAATACTTGGATGGAAATTTGCAGTTTTCTTTAATTTTGCATAAGGTTTGCAAATCTGATTTTTGGGGTTTTTGGTGTAGAATTAACCATATTTTTATAAAAAATTAGGAAAAAATAAAATATTTAAAAAATAGTTGCCGGTATTGTAAAACCTTCACTGTACCTAAACTTTATTGACTGACTGTATATCTTATTTAAGTTAAGTACGACAAAAACTTTCGAAGTACTTCATATACA